TCTGAGCGTGGCAGCGCTACAAGTTGACTTTTATTTTCACTCCCTATAAAAACGGCGGAATTTACAGAAATAATGACGGAATTTACAGATTACGGAATTTACAAAGCGAAGTTTTTAGTCTCCTGAACCGCTGGGTTACAAGATAGGTAAAAACTGTTGACGGTGTCATTTTCAGCATCCAAAATAGCATTTTTCAGCGAAGGTTGTGGGAACTTCCTCCCTCAGATGGAGGAGCTACGGCCTGAAACGGAATTTACATCCATTTTTACACCCTTACCGTTTTGAACTCTTCTGACGGCCTGGAAGCGTCGTTTGACCGCCCCAGGTCCCGTGGGCACGGGCTTCTGGAAGTGTTTTTTATGTTCTTTCGAACCCAAGTGGTCGCGAGTTTCAAAAATAAAAAGGGAAACCCCCAGTAACCGTCATTTGTAAAAACAGCATAGGTCACATGGTCACAGGGTGGACATTTCCCAAAAGGGCTTTTTTGGGTTCAAAAATGATGATACAAAGGTCACCCTCCGTAATTTTGTGAAGAATAAGTCAGGGGAGAGAGTGAAATAGCCAGTTTTCTTTTGATGTGGCTGAGTCATATGAGCAGTTCTCGCGAGATGTGATAATTTCGTGTCCTCTCTCTGGTTCTTCCAACCTAAAGTCGATTTTAACCGGGTCTTTTCCTACCTTATGTTTTTTGACCTTGCGGACAAGGTACAACTCTCATCAAGATGAAATTTTGCCCCCTTCCACCTTTAAAATTGCAAGTTTTACCCTAGAATGAAATTTTCCGTGGAACTTTTTGATGTCCTACGCTCCAGATTTGGCGTTTCCCGCCTCTACTACACCCCAAGGGGTATGAAAAATAACTTTCGCTAAGTGCATTTTGTTTACGCAATGGGGCTACGTTTTGACGTGTAGAACGTATCTCTCGGGTAAAATTTGCAGACACAAGATGATTCCGAAAATTGTCTTCCACAACAAAAATTCAACAAGTCAGAAATCGTTTTTTTTGGGACGGTTTTTCTACCTTATGTGCGACGTTCTAAAACTTTTTTCATTTGTTGGTGCATTCGTTCTACACAATTTGCAAATTGGCGGTAATGTGGCACCATTAGAACGGAAAATATAAAGTTAAATAAGTTCCAAAGCGGCGAAAAATTGGCCTAGCAAGCAATAATTTAATTTCCGTTCCCCCCACTGCTTGCAGACCTTTAAAAAATTTTGATTGCAAACCCAAACCCCTTGTGTGTTTGCCCTGTGGACAAGTTGTTCCAGTAAAATTTTGGTTCCGGTGGCACTTCTGGTTTGGCTTGTACACCCCTTTTTATGAAATAATGAAATTTCCGTGGACTGTAATTTCCGTGGACAAAATGAGGTTTTCGTTGCCTTTCACGTGATTTTGGCCTCGCAAGGGGCCTCAGCTCTAAAGTATGTCGATATTTTTCGTTTTAAACCTCTCTTATGGAGGGAATGCCACTCTGGGGGGAAATGGGCATGGGGAATGGGAAGGCAAGCTAGGAAAGTCGTGGCGTAGTTTAACAAAACATCCATCAGGTCAAACCCGCCGCAAGTCACAAAATGGACCCAAACGAGCAGCGAGCCGACTTTTTGCAAGAGTCTAAGCTTTCGACCCCACTCATCAGATTGGTCAAACACTGTATTTTCTGGAAAACCAAGCGGTTTTATGCTGCTTTTTTCGGCGCGGCCGGCATACTGCCTTGACAGTTGTGACTGCGAGTCAGTAAAACCGTTCAACGTTGATTATTCAGATCGGAAAGCTTAACCGAAAGTTAATGTCTTGCGAAAAATAGGCTCGCTGTATTTTGGGATCTAGCTGACCATTTAAGACTTGCGATGGACTTAACCTGCCCGATATGTTAAAAACATGACGTCTTTCCTAAGCTTGCCGTTCGAATGCTAAGACCCAGTTTATCGAAAAAATTGCAGCAATCTGTTCCTCAAACTCAAAGAGAAATCTTTCCGAAAAATAGGTTAGTAAACGTGGGTGCCAGATATGCTTCCAGGAGGGCTAAAAAACCGCACCGCGAGCGGGCCGCTGTCTCGACCCCCGATAAACTTTTCCTCAACTGATCGCACCCATTTTTTAATATTTTCCGAACATAGACACGCAGGAGCTGATCAAGAGGGACTTTCCTCCGTTGTCCACTCTAGGGTAGGGTGGTCCAAAAAAAAATGAAGTTGCTCGGATCGTCCAACGCCGCCCGGATTTAGATTCTACATCAAAAAATATGAAATACGTGTTTTTCCTTTTTCGAAAAAATGATTTTTAGGACCTCCGCAGAGCCCTCAAAGTTTTTAACAGTGCTATTAAAAGGAAAAAACCGTAACTTGGTCATTTTTTGACCGATTTTGAAAAACGAAACTGGGATTTGTTCGTTTTTGAATGCTTATTACGAAAAAAATATGCATACTCCTCTTGTTGGTTTGCCTAACTTTCAGGGGCAAAAAATGACTAAATTTCGGCCCAAATTGGCAAGAGTTTCAGTTTGTAGGCCGCTACAGCCACTCCAAGACCACCCTGTCAGCATGGCGGGGTGCCCCTACCACTAGGCAAGCCTCATGAACAGAATTGGGGTGCCGAGTGCGATTTGCCTACCTCCCAGAGGCATAAAATTTGTGGATTTTTTCAAAAATCTATCAATAGTGATGTCTTTTGGGGCCCCTGGACACTCAATGGGCCCCCTTTCACACGGTTCGGTACCCGCACTACGTGATAAGAACAAACAATAGGAATGGACTGTTGAGCACCTCATGCATACCTCTCAGGAGCAGACGTGAAAATTTAGAAAATTCCTTCATTTTGATGGCTTTTCTTGTGGCCTTGCGTGGTTAGCGGTCCCTC